GAGGAAGGCTTTACAGCCTCATACTCGCAAATGCATCTTTGTTGGCTATGCTGCTGAAGCAAAGGCTTGGGAGTTCTGGGACCCTGTCACGCAGAAGTTTTATATCAGCAGCAATGCTGTCTTCGATGAAAGGTGCTTTCCAGGCAACTCCAAGTCGATCAATGTCTTTGGATTGCCTCTATCTGATGTAGATATCCCTCACACTGACGGTGAAGAGGTTTCTGCGCCTAACAACCTCACTGGACTGCTGCCAGATCAGGGGGGAGTTGACTCTGATGATGATGATCTGCCAGCTCCACCTCGTCCTATTACACCACCTCCAGCGCATCAGGCGCCTTTACAACCACCACCAGCTCCTAGAAAGCCCACACCAGCTCCAGCTCCTAGACAGCTTCCACCTCGCAGTTCTCGCTTCCAAGGCTCCCTTAGAGAGCCTCCCTTGCGCCAGCCAACGGCTCCTCGCATTACAGTGGAAATGCGCCCTGCAGCACATCCAGAAACTCGCTCAGCTTCACCTGATCCTCTCAACCTCATTGCTCCCACTTCAAGTCCTGTTGAAGCTCCTGAAAGCGCTCCTTCTAGTCCCATGCCTGAGCAGCATAGTGATCGTTCATCCAGCCCAGATCCACTCTTGCTCAGTGAAGCGCAGTGTGGCGCTGCCATGATCATGGAAGGTCTCAACCATGTGTATACTGGTCAGACCACTGATTACCTGGACTATGATGAAGCGCTAGAGTTCGCGTTCCACTCAGTCTGTCAAGCGCACCAGGAGCGCCATGGAGAGCCTCGGACCTTTGCAGAGGCGATGAAGCGTCCAGCTGAAGAGAGAGAACGCTGGCACAAGGCAGCTCAGGACGAGATCCAGGCATTAGTGGATAATGAGGTCTTTGAGCTTGTTGAGCTGCCTCCAGGCCGCAAAGCTATTGGCAGTCGCTGGGTCTTCAGGGTCAAGCGCAATGCTGATGTGTTGAGATCTGATGCTTGGTCACTCTTTGTTGACTGAGTGGCTCATGGAATGGCCTAGGCCCTTCTAGGCCGAGTTACCTTGTTCTGAGCCACTCCCTTTGTTGTGAGCCACTCCCTTTGTTGTGAGCCACTCCCTTTGTATTCCTTGTATTCCTTGTATTCCTTGTTCTTCTTTGTATTTCGATGTCCCCCTTGTTCTGTCCTTGTTCTTTGATGCCCTTGTATTCTACAGTATATAAGCGCTCCCTAGGTCGCTCTGTGTCCCCCAGTCTTGACACAGTTTGACCTAGGTGAGTCTGCCACTTGTATTCCTTATACCAGAATACAGTCTTGACACAGTTTGACCTAGCCCTTGGGTGTTGTCTGAAGCTAGTATCTTCCACTGCCAACAGGTTATGAGCCCAAGGCTCTAGATCTTCAGACACCCATCTCTGCCAGTCCTTCACTGTTGTCCTTTGTGCCACTGAGCCACTTAGACTCCCTTGTGCCACTGAGCCACTTGCTCTCCTTTGTGCCACTCTTCCCTGTCCTTGGTTTTCCCCTTGCATCGCACCCCCTGCATCACCATGGCTCCTCTTTCCTTCCCCAAGCTCAACCAGCAAAACTATCAACAATGGGCTTTGAACATGGAGGCCAGGTTAAGGACCTCTTATGCCTGGCGCATAGTCAATGGTTCTGAAACCAGGCCAGAGCCCACACTACCCCTAGATGCTGCAGAGCGAAAGGAGGTTCGAGATTTTGACCAGAGAACTGACCTTGCTGCTGGTGAAATATGGGACTGTGTTGAACAGGACCAGCAGGTGCATCTGCAGGAGATTAGAGATGACCCCTGTGCTATGTGGGCTAAACTCAAGTCTGTTCACTTGCAGAAGCGTCCGGGAGCGCGCTTCACTACCTATGATGCGCTCCTAGGCCTCCAGTGCACAGAGGGAGAATCCTTATCTTCACTTGCAGCCAGGGCTACTCAGCTAAAGCAGAACATGAAGCTCATGCGTCCTGCTGCTTTCACTGTCTCTCAACTTGATGATGAGCTTGTTCTAATGGCTCTGATTCGTGCCTTGCCCTCCCAGTATGCCCCTCTAAAGCAGACCACGCTTTTGGACGACTCCCTCACTCTAGACAAGCTCATGGAGTTGTTTGTTGCTTTGGAGAACCAACCTGGTGCTGGCCCTTCCCCACCTGTTATGGCACAGG